CCCCCCCCCCTCACCCTCACGAACCAGCGCGGGGCAATCCCGGAGTTTTGGGGATTTTTTTGGGGGGTTTGTCCCGAGAGAATTCCCGGTGGGAGCCGCCCACGAGCCCCAGGGAGGGGCCCCAGGACTCGTTGGACAGGTCCGGTGGTGGCCCCGGGGCTCGGGTAGGGCGTGGGAAGGGCCCCACGCGTGTCCGGGCACACGGAGAGCACCGGGTGGGGACACTGGGGACAATGGGGACACCTCCCCGGAGAGGGGGGGAGGGCAGGTGTCCGTCCGTACCGGGGGAAACCGAGAGGGAACCGCGAGGGAACCGCTCTGCTCGTACCGTGGGGTGGCCCTGGGGTGTCCCCAAGGTGGCCTTGGGGGGGTCCCCAGGATGGCCCTGGGGTGTCCATGAGGATGTGGGATGTCCATGAGGCGTCCCCAAGGTGTCCGCAGGGTGGCCTTGGGGTGTCCATGAGGCCGTGGGGTGTCCATAGGGTGTCCACGGAGTGGCTTTGGGGTGTCCCCACGGTGGCCTTGGGACCATGGGGTGTCACCAGAGTGGCCTTAGGGTGTCCACAGGGCCGTGGGGTTTCCATGGAATGTCCCCAGTGTGACCTTGGGGTGTCCACAGGGCCGTGGGGTGTCCATGGAGCGTCCCCAGGGTGTCCCCAGAGTGGCCTTAGGGCGTCCACGAGACCATGGGATGTCCATGGGGTGGCCTTAGGATGTCCATGGAGTGTCCCCAAGGTGGCCTTGGAGCCGTGGGGCGTCCCCAGGGTGACCTTGGAGTGTCCACAAGGCTTGAGGGACATCCACGGAGTGTCCCCAAGGTGGCCTTGGAGCCGTGGGGTGCCCACGGGGTGTCCACGGGGTGTCCACGGGGTGTCCACAGCCCATCCCCACACCACCCACAGCACAACCTTAACCACCAACACCCCCCTTTCCCCCCCACCACCACCACCCATAAAAACCCCTCCCCGCTTTCACACAGACGTGGTGCACTCGCGCGTCAGCGGCGCCGTCACCAGCTCGGCCGCCGTGGGGCTGGCCGGGCCTTTGTCCAGCGAGCTGGACGTGCGCAAGGGGACCCCCGGGCGACCCAACTGCGGCGGCCGCCGGCCCCTCCCGCAGCAGCAGAGCACGCGCAGGAACTCGCCGCGCATGTCCTTGCTCCTCAGCATGTAAATCACCGGGTTGGCCGCCGAGTTGAGCGTGGCGAAAGCGAAGAAATAATTGGCGCTGTACAAGACCCGGCAAGCGCGGACGGGACACGAGGCGTCCATCAGGAGGATGATGAAGGCGGGCAGCCAGCAGACGATGAAGGCTCCCAGCACGATGGTGACGGTTTTGAGCAGCGCCAGCGTTTGCGCCGTGGCGATTTCGGCGTGGCTGGAGCGGACGATGCAGTAAATGCGGGTGTAGAGGCCGACGATGGCCATGAGGATGAGGGTGAAGATGGTGGTGACGAAGAGCACGTAGCGCTTGGAGTAGAGCGGCAGCACCGTGGAGCAGTCGCGCAGGTCGCTGATGCAGTTCCACCCCATGATGGGCAAGCTGCCGATGGCGCCGGCGATCACCCAGCAAGCGCCGATCAGCAGAACCATGCGGCAATTCTTGTCGCTGCTGTACACCTTGACCTTGGTGATGGCCACGTGGCGCTCGATGGCGATGGCCAGCAGGCTGAACACCGAGGCGGCCAAGGTGGCGAAGGCCGTGCCCTCCCTCACGAACCACTGCACCGGCGTCAGGCTGAAGGTGGTGCTGCCCGACAGCAGCGTGTTCACCATGAACGCGGCCCCGGCCAGCAAATCCGAGGCGGCCAGGTTGCCGATGAAGATGTACATGGCCAAGTGCAGGCGTTTGTTGCGGCAGATGGACACCAGCACCAGCAGGTTCTCCAGGACGATGACGCAGCACAGGAGGATGATGAGGACGGAGCCCACCCAGCGCGACGGGGCCGAGCTCTCGGTGTCGCCCTTGGTGTAGTTGTAGTGCTCGCGGATTTTGTCGCGGTTGAAATATTCCTTGTAGATGCTCCCCATGGTGGTGAGGAGGTGGCGGCGTGGAGGCTCAGCGCCGCCGGGACATGGCTCCTGGGGACAGAAATGGCACCTTGTCACCTTTGTGCCACCAGGACGTGGCTCCTGGGGACAGAAATGGCACCTTGTCACCTTCGTGCCACCAGAGAGACCCTGAGGTGACTGCCCATGCCACCAGGACGTGGCTC